GCGCAAAACGAATTTGTAGTTGGCGCCCGCGGGCACCGCGTAAAAGTGGTCTGTATTTATCACGTGACTGGTCTTTATTTATCACGTGGTGCTTGCGCTCTTTCGAAAGCTTCCTATGGCATCTAAAAGTAACTCATTCATCTTTGTTTGAAGTATAACAAAAAACCAAGACGAATAAGTAACTTTTAAAGCCCAAAGGAAACTCCTGAAAAAGCGCAAGCAGGCGTGATAGACCTGTGCGCCGGTCAGACGACGGCGGCGGCGCCCCGAAGCAGACGAACTTGTGCGGCGGCGGCGGCGTGGAGAAACGCGTTGAAGCGGCGTTCGCACAACGCTCAGCGTGCGGCGGCGACGCAGCGCGGCGGCGCGCGGGCCTACCACGTGACCAGCGGCGGCTCCCGCGAGCGCCAACTACAAATTCGTATAGCGCCGTAAATATAGCTTTAAAAATTTTGTTTCTTCGTTGTAAAATCGTTTTATGACATCCTTTTTCCATCTAAGCTGTCTAAAAAAAATTTTTTTTCCTTTGCATGTGTCCTTTAAGAATGGGCGGTAGCGTCGTAGTTGCCATAAAAGATAATATATCCCCTTCTGCATCATCCGCGATACTAATCTTGAGCTAATGTGGGTATGCGTCACATCACCCATTTTCAAAATAATAATCAAAATCTGCTACAGAGCACCCGACAGCGACAATGACTTTACTGGTAATCTGCGCAACGCGCTCGACGAGCTTAGAAACACTCGCCGTAAAGCGTCATTCTTCCTTTTCGATGATTTTAACTTCCCTAATATCAATTAGACAGAAGTAACAGTCGCAAAATAATCTACAGAAAATGAATCTAGAACATTTCTCCATCTAACTCTTGATTTTACGTTCACTCAAGCTATCATGCAACCAACGAGACTCGACAACACACTCGATGTTTTATTTTCTACCACCCCAGAACATATCCAGAACATCATTCATTCGCTAGGGTAAAGCGATCATCAAATGCTACACACAACATTGTCGCTTCCCATTAACAAAAAAGTGCCTACATAAACGTCTATTAAAGACTACAAGAGGGGAGACTTCCCATCCAGTAATCATGCATTGCAGGCCTATTACCATGACTTTAGTAGAAAATGTAGTTCCACAACTATTGAAGATAACTGGAGCATATTCCGAACTAAGCTCAACGATTTCATCAACGTATTTATTCCGACTGTCTGCGTTATCAGGCAGAAACCACCCCTCGTTTAATAATACTCTAGAGTCGCTAAATAACAAAAAGAAACGCCTCTATCGAAAAGCTAAACAATCCGGGCTTACCGAACATTGGGATGCTCATGGAATAATTTCAAAAAAATATACTGCAAATATCAAACGTGCCAAGTTAAAATTCTTATGTGATGACATACCCTCTATCCTTCGGTCTAATCCATCTCGATTTTGCCAACTTCTATCGCCAAAATGTCAATCGCGATCACTGAAACTAACCGACAGCAGTAACAACCCAATCATCAACAATGTGCAAGGGCCCTAAACGACTTCTTTGTCACTGTATTCACCCGACTGAAGGCCTTCAGAATCTGCCTACTTCTCTTCAGGTATATAGCCATATCATGCCGCCTGTAACGATATTATCTCACGGAATAACTACGCTGATTAACAAACTGAAGCTTTCATCGTAAGCAGCGTCAGACAATATCAACTCCAAATTCGTCAAGAACATCGATGTAATCGCCGGTTCATATATTTCATTAATGTTCTCGCAATCCCTCTCTTGTGGCCGCTCTCCAAAACACTGGAAACTTGGGGAAATAGTACCAGTTCAGAAACATGGGAACCGACCACTTACATCCAATTTTCGTCCTATATCCTTAACGAGCGTCCAATCAAAACTTTTGGAGCATATACTCAGCACCCACATCATCAACCACCTGAACTCGGTCAACTTTTTTAGAGCGCACCTCTTAAGCCCGATTCAAACAGACCCGGAATGCAGAGACGGGTGCCAGAACCCGTAGTGACGTCAGCGCTCCCTCCGTAGGGGTGGTGACGTAATTACGGCTTCCGGCTCCCAGATTGAAGAGTTGAAAATTTTTCAACTTTCTCCTTCCCGGGTCGTGACGTAGGTTTCCGTATTTTCTCCGCGGCCAATCAGCGCGACGCGCTTCCCTCCTCCGCCCTCCTTGCCACCGGCGTTCACGTGGTTCCGCGTGCGAATGCCTTTCGCTCCGTGCTTGCTTGCAAGAAAAGCTCCGGCGATGAACTTCAAGCCCGTATCCGACGCGAGGAAAGCAGCTCAAGCTGGAAAGAAGTGTGCCGCTGTGTTTGACGTACCCGAGAAAGCCTATGAATTAGTTCAGCTAGTTCAGCGGTACCCCTGGATCTACGACAGGTATCGTCGCGACCACAAAAACCGGAACAAGTGAAAGAACTCGATACTGCTTTTAATAATTTGTTGACACGGTTTCGGAGACACGGGAGGTGGTTGCAACCCGATGAAACGGCATCTCCCGATCGAAAAGACCATCAGGTTTTCCTGATGGACCATCAGAGTTTCTTGAAGGTCCATCAGACTTTTCTGATGGTCCATCAGGTTTCCTGATGGACCATCAAAGAAGTCTGATGGACCATCAGCCCACTCCTGATGGACCATCAGCCCATTCCTGACGGACCATCTGACTTTCCTGATGGACCATTAGACTTCTTTGATGGCCCATCAGGCTTCCTGATGAACCATCAAGAAGGTCTGATGGACCATCAAGAAAGTCTGATGGACCATCAGCCCATTCTTGACGCACCATCCGACTGTCCTGATGAACCATTAGACTTCTTTGATGGCCCATCAGGCTTCCTGATGGACCATCAGGCTTCCTGATGGACCATCAAGAAGGTCTGATGGACCATCAAGAAAGTCTGATGGACCATTAGCCCATTCTTGACGCACCATCCGACTGTCCTGATGGACCATCAGATGCGTTTAGATGGTCCGTCAGAAGTTCCCGACGGCGCCTAATGGTCTGTTGGGCACTCTTGATGGGCTGTCAGAGGTGGTCTAATGGTCGTCAGAAGTTTTATGTTTCACTTCGGTTCCATCAAAAGCGCCTTATTTCCCGGCCGTCGGGACTTTCTTTCCGCACAATGTTTATCAAAAGTGCTTGATTTATTGTTGCTCGCGGTATTCTGACGGCGCCGTCAGAGGCGTTTAATAACAATTGATATATGGGTCGCGACATATTTGCCAGCATGTGATGAGTCCCGGGCTCGCGAGGTGCTGACACAACTATGTCACGCGATTTGTCTTTACTCACTGAGTCCCCGATTCACCGGCAACTGTGCGTTCGTCTGCAATCACGCACCATGGAAACCCGTACTCACGGTAGGGTTCATCGTTTCGCATATGCTTCATCTACGCCTTTCATTACCAACGGAAGGTGGACAGACTTTTCGTCGACACATTAATTTTTATAGACACGGCACCCCCCGAGCCCCGCAACCGTTGTGCGCATCGGACGGTCGCGGTGGCAATGAAGTTCAGCTTCCAAACAGACCGCGCGGCCATTGCTTTGCTTTACTTTGCTCGAAGGTTAAATAGTCGGGGGAATGCGCCACCGCCTCGCTGAATGAGCGGCCCAAAGTCGAGGAGGCTCCGCAACTTTGCACGCTACAAAATAGGCGATTTGAGGCTATGTCGCGATAAAAAAAGCTGTCGTTGAATCTCGCGTATGATATATGATGGGCCGCAGCCGCGTGGTCAATGGGTTGATGTGATTTTTTTTATTAAGGAAAAGCCTTATATGTCTCGTCGTCCAGACGACCTTAAAAGTTCTTGAGCGGAAGCACGTCGAGTCACGAAAGGTGCTAAAACCGGCGACAGGAAAGGTAGAAAAACCTGCATTATTTAGTATTCAGCTGCACTAGAACCCTTTTAGACCAGGGCGGTCGTTAACGAAGCAGCTTCGCAGGGGTTTTAGACTGAATTAAAGTTTTCAACACCACCGCCACTATCAGAGATATAATAAAAATAAAAAAACACAAAAAAAAAATTGTCTTCCTTCTCCCGGGGGGAGTCGACAAGGGACCTCTCGTTCCGTATGCCGACGCGCTACCCCTGCGCCACGGGCGGAGGACTGTCGAGGGTCGCGTAAATTATGAGTTAGTCTTTAATGTATCGGCTACTGCCGACGCATCGGCTACTTGCGGCGCCAGTTTCTTTACACGCAGTCAACGTTACTAAAACACTCAGTTGGGAAACTCGCCGTCGAAACCTGGGCCGCTGGCGTCCACTGAGACCGAGCTAAATGCGACAACAGCGCCACTCTTTTTTGTTTGTCTGTACTATGGTCATCTCGAGCTTTTTGAAAGCCTGTTTTTGCGTAAAAACAAACGGAAAAGACTCTTTTTGTATGAAATTTATTGGAGTTTAGAACCAAATGATGGGCGCATGATGTTTTTATAATCTTTAGTTTGCAAGGTTTTGCGGAACAATTAATATTGTTTTTATAAAACCATGCCTCAGCGGGCCTTTCAGGTAGCACGTCCCGCCCTAGGTGCATTTTAACTTCAGTACCTCAACGCGGCGCGTCCGCCGGGGAGACGGGGGTGGCACTCCTGTAACCTCTACCGCTGTATCTGTTCTTAAAGCCAAATAGAAGTCACGTGCAGTTCCTCGAGTGGCCGCTGCGGGAGGAATGGTGGCGTTGTGTTCGTCATTAGCTCGGTGCTCGGAGACAGTTTGGGAGTTTCCCAACTGAGTGTTTTGGTAACGTTGCACGCAGTGTTGACACTTAACAGATTTCTCTCAAAAATGTTCTCATTCAAGTTCATACGCAGTGTTCGACACTCGACGATCCGTTAATTTTAATGTATACTTTATATTTTGAAAAACGTTCGCCGCTTATATCCGTTCGAGCAACTGCGTCTTCGAAAGCTTCGAATCCAAATCCAAATCCAGTTGTTTCGTGCGCTTTGTTGCCTCGGCAGCCTCACCCTTCCTCGTAGAGTGTTTTCGAGGTTTTAGATATTTCGGTAGGTTTCACTCGATTTTGCGAGAACGGAGAAATAAGCGACGTCCACAGGGCTTTATTTAAAAACTGCAATCCTTCGAATGTGGTCGACTTCGAGCGTAGGACGGCGTACAAGGTGTCTTGGGACGGCGACGCGAACACTCGAGGAGGCTATTACGACGCCGAGATCCTCGAACTGACGGGTAAGTGTGTATTTTTTACCATCCCAAAGTGCGACGTAGCCACAAGCAATCGCCGTTTTCTTTCTTTTTTTATTGCGACTGTAATTAAAAGTGAATATTGTAGACTGCTTATATGGGGCACCAAGCTAGGCAGATGAATGCATGGGCTAATACTTCAGTTGAGCGTGTGGACTGAACTGCCTTGCACGTGACATCATATGGCACCCTAAAAGCCGCCATTGCTCCTGTGCCTTAAGTCCGCGCTAATTTTGCTCGTACTCCACCGTTCCGAGTTTCACACTCCGAGCGCAGCAACTAAACGAAGCATAGCGTACAGTGGCGCAACACACCGAAGCTGTCGGCGAGCTGTATGAGCCACTTCCGACCACAGTTTTATGACAAACCCAGCATCTCGCGGATGCCAAAATTATTTTGAAGATAAATTAATTAAGGGCTTTGTAAAATGGTAAAATAAAAGCCCCCCCCCCCCCCCCCCAAAAAAAAAAAAAAAAAAGAAAGGAAAAGAAATCCGCGGCGACGTTAGGAAATTTTTACGAATGTTAATATTTGTGAAAGGTTTGAAGACTCGCTTCGACCAGATATGCTGAATGTTACTTTGACCGATCTATTTATTGACCATGCATGATGTTTAGATTCAAATGAAAGACAACATTCTTGAACTCGCTTCTCAAAACAAGAAACTCTCAAACTTGTCAGATATCGTGGGTTTACGTCTTCCAGCGCGAGACGGAACCTGTCGGTGTGCTACTCCAATACTGGCACACCACCGTTCAATAAATAGCACATTAATTAGATTTCAGGCGAGATGCATGGACAAACTTTTTCCGCAACGTTTTCGCTTTCCAGTCGAAGTATCTTTATTCGCAGGGCTGTGCATTCTACAAAGGGCAGCGATCGGACTGTCCTTTCATCTCGACAACTTTTCTGTCGCTGTACCATCATAACGCTACTGTTCGATGGGTAATTCGTTTTCTGGTGAGATTCGGGAACAAACCTTTTCCGTAATGGTCCTGGCTTTGAAGTCAAATCATTTTGCTCGCTGGGTTAAGCATTCTTCAACTGAAATGAGGCAGCGATCCGCTGCACTCCTCGTCTCGGCGACGTTTCTGTCAGCGCGAAGAAATGACTTGCACTTCGAGAAATACTCGGTGCAAAAAGAGCACGCTTGAGTGTCAGTCCTTTGGTGGCGCTTCTGTCCATTTAATGAACAGAGCGGCAAACTCTTGCGCTCCGCAGCACAAACTTAGGCGCACAATCGTGGCTGATTCAATGTCAATTCATGCGAGTCATATAATACATGGCTTGCATTGATGTTGCATCAGCTGCCATTGCTTCCTGACCAATTTATTTATTCATGATCACAAATGTACAGTAGGGGACAAAAGTCCCCAGGACGTGCTAGCTGCGGCTGAAACCCATTGCTCTGCCACCTGCCGGCGGGTCGCCTGGTTTCGAGATCACACAAAAGCGCATGCGCGTCCTACTCTGTCTGCAAACATGTGCGTTTCCTGCTCTTCTGCGGCACAGCACCTAACTAGGAATCGGGCACATGGTACTGCCTCGGACATAGCGCTGGCGGCTGACGAGCGTCTGCTATACATTTCAAAACTCGAGATACTGCCTGGGGCATTGCGTTGCATTTCGTCGAGTCAGCGCACCTTGCTTTATAACCAGTTCAGCTTATCGCTTAATTGAGCTGCCGTGACTTCTTGCTTTATAGGTGCCATGTCCGTAAGCACTATCTCCGAAGTGGTACCACGCGCCCGATTCCGAGTTAGGCGCCGCGCCGCAGCAGAGCGGGAAAGCGCACACGTTGGCAGGTACAATAGGACGCACGTGCGCCCTTCTGTGATCTTGCAACCAGGCGACCCGCCGGCAGATGGCAGAGGAATGCGTTTCAGTCGCAGCTTGCGTGTCCTGGAGACTTTTGTCCCCGACTGTACCTACAAGAAACCCAAGAGGAAATGGCAACTGAACTGGCCAGGCGCAAACAGGCAGCTGAAGCATCTGCAAGTTCACACAAAGCTGCTCCTCCCAGGAACATCAGCCCTTGTGCCCTCTAACGCAAAGCAGTTTTTGTGGAAATTTTGTCACCAGAATATCATTACCTGTCTATGTAATGTGGTACAGCCTATTTTTTCTGGGAGTGTCGAAAAGCTAAATCTTAGCGCTAATTAAATTTTTAGATGCGGTTTATGTCAGGACAAAAGCTGAAAGTGACGATGTTGCAAGGCTCTCAAAAGCAGCGCCAGCCACATATGGCTAGCAGCGACCGAAACGGGCACACAACTGACCAATCCAACTGATGCAGAAAGAGCTGGTCGTGCACAAAATGTGAGTGTGGAAAGCAGCTTGGGAATCCCAACACTCCGTAATGTCATGCGAGTCCTTAACATTTATACTTCCTTGGGATTGCTCTGTTTCACCACTCAGTCAAGACTTTGCAGTTTACCAAGCCTTCTTTATTTCACAAAGGCCAGTAAAGCAGTCGGGAGTGACAAGGAAGACAAAGAATCAGCTATATCACAAAAAAAGAATAGCACAGGGATTCAGTTTGATGCCGGCAACAATGTGTTGTCATGATTTGTTGATGAGGAATGCCATGCTTTCTGCCTACACCCCAATGTGCGTGAGTAATGCTGCTGGGGGCACACCGGCAGAGCTGCTAGAAACACTTTTCTCTGACTTACCCTGCTCTATCAATTGCAGGACTACCTGCGGCTCGGCTGTTGATGCGGGAGGTGCTGTAGGGCCCTACTGCCTAACACGTAAGTCATTTATGGCCTGACCTCTGGGTACTCGTATGTTTACCGTACTAACAGAACCCATGCTTTAGCATTAAAAAGGTAACTTTTTTAATGAACCTGCAGTATATGAAAGAAGTTTGCTGTGCGGTGATAGAGCCGAACATGTCATATGCAACACATGGCTTATATCTTGCATAGAGGATATTCATTCATAAAGGGTGGAAACAATAATGCTGAGAAAGAAGGCATAAACGGCAAAGAGCTCTCTACTCTACTGTTGTGGCTGCGCTCTGTTGCTGAGCAGAATGACCGAGGAATGTCCTTCCTACGTCATGACTACGTAGCAAGTTCCCCAATGTTGCTAGATTACCTCCCAAATAGGCTCCACATGCATCCACCAGGTGCACATTGAAAGATTGTTTGATTAGCTTTAAAATTAGTTTGCTTGTGCCCTTCAGCAAAGGACTGGTATTTTTGAGGTTATGTTGCAACCTGCAACTCATTAAAGCGATAAAATGAGCGCTGGAATTTGGTTTCTGTACCTCTTTCATGTGAAATTGTTTTTTTCAGTTTCTGACGAGGACATCCTTGCAAAGAATGAGATCGTGGATCCTAGCATCGGCCTCCAGAAAAGGAAGGAATGGTAAAATAGAAAAACTTTTCACTTTCAGTCAGTGTATAATATACATTAAAAGAGTTTAGGATAGTGCAGGGGTGGCCAGAGTGACATGGAGTTAGAGCCGCAGACAAAACTACGAAAGTTTAGAGTCGCTGGAAAAAAGAAAGTGGAGGGGGCTACTTTTAACAAGAAACAATATGGAGGGAACAGTTATTTCCATAGAGGACAAGTATAATGGGCGATAACAACAAATGACACTATGCATCAGAAGGTCCTTTCCACTGCTAAGCAAAAATTGATACACGATTCACTAGCCAGTCACTGCCCCTGACAACTGTTATGCGTATACGGTTGAAAGTCTTTCTAGAACAATAAAGGAAACGGGGTCACTCGACGCATCTATGTGGCAAAAAAGCATTCTAGGTGTATATATGTAGTGTGTTGCCAGGCTGCCAAGACTTGCAGCTCTTTCTAAATTCTAGAACCCTTTTCGTCTAGGGGACACGTTTTCCAGGGAGCCGCGAGCTGCACTTGGACCCGCAAAGAGCCGCGTGCGGCTCGCGAGCCTCACTTTGGCCACTGCTGAGATAATGTGAGCACAGTAGATTGAATCGATTGCAACAAGAAGTTATTAAAACATTATTGTAGCCAGGCTCTTAATTGTAGTTACAGCCAGTGCCTGGAAAACATTCTGTTGTCATGCTCACCTGATGCAACTAAGGGATTATGTAGCTGTTTCATGCAGATGCCATAAAGCTTTGTAGGCCCATCAGCTTCGCAGACGCCCATGAAGATAGGAATTCATGTGTAGTGCTGTCTTAAATTTAAAGGCCTAAATTTCATTAATGTAATTATTTTAGTGCATTTTCAATGCATCTTGGAGTATACAGTACCACTCTACGTCAACGACTGGTATATGTGAAGCTGTTTCTCGCTTTTGTTTATAACAGATCCATGTCGGGCAAGGTGTGCACGTCAACCAGGAATGCGGGCAACATGCGGCAAGCAGAGTGCGACTCCATGTTTTGCAAGATCACTGCTGCTTCCATAGGGTGAGTGGAAGTGCTTTTGGAGAGGTCGGTGACCGGCACCCTCTCCAACAAGGCAAAGGCAGCGAGGCAAGAGAAGGCGTTTGCCCCGCTCACTCAGCGCAAGGTGCAGGCTCTCTCATTAAGCAAGCATTTTAAAATCTTGATATGAATCTCACGAAGTCGCGTAAAATATTTCATGCTAAATTCGTATCAACGAAAGCGAAACAAGATTTATATTTTGAAACACAAGGAATGCATGAATGTGCATTTATTTATGGCAGAAAATATCTTGTATGCAATTTACACGATTCTAACATGCCCCCGACAGTAACACACGGTTATGATCAACCCACGAATGTTGAAAAAATGAATTAATGTCGATTCTACTGCGCAGATAAATGTCGATTCTACTTCGCAGATAAAATAATGACGGCTGAAGAACATACACTTTGTGGAAAACATTTTATCAGATGCACATACTCAGAAAGTGCCCACACTATGTGCTGTTGAAGCCCTACATCAAAAACTTGCAAGCGAGAATTCGGTTTCTTTGTCTTTCCAACCAAGCTCGCATGTCACCGTGGACCACACCGAAGACGCCACCAACATCACTCGGTTTTCTGTTTTCGCCAACGCAGTTACTTTGTTTTTTAGAGGTAACCTTATAGTAAAATCGGTTTTGCTTTTCCAAGGCTGAAACACCATTCCACGAGATCGCAAAAACAAAAAAAGCGATTTTGGATTCAGATTGGATTGGATTTGAAACGTGTGTTGATGGTGATGGGGCTGGCCACTTTGCACAGTTTTTTTTAGCATTTTGTTTAGTTTTGGTTTTTGGGTCCGATTGTAACATGCATGTAATTTTGAGCTCCAGTTTTTGGGTAAAGTGCGGCTGATCCCTGGCAGCAGCAGGCAATCAGCCGCCCGGAGCCTTGAAAGCTTACAGTCGCCGATCGTGGCCTCCTTGCCACTATCAGTTGTGGAGCACGCATTCGTATCAGCCGTCGCAGAGCGTAGAGGAATTCGGAACACCCAAAAATTTTCACGTCGTATACAATGCACTTCGGCCGGGGAATTTGTTAATTTGTTTTATTCCGAAATTCGTACCAGTTAGTATCACCGAGATTTTACTCTAGTAGGTTGCCTGCTAACACCTGGACATGTGATGGGGGTACCCCGCCAAGAATGAGTCAATCATAACAGATAATAACCGTAAATAATCGCACATTTGTATTTTGAACAGATAATTTTATTTTTCGTTCTAAGCAACAAACTCGAGCAAGTGCTCGAAGAGAAGTCAACGGAGAGCTCGATGCATCGTGGGCTATCCGGCAAAGCTGGCGTGGCTACGAGCTGTGCCGTTCGGGTGCATAGTGGTGGTGTAGACGTGTTACAGCCTAGCCATTTGAAACACCTGTGGGCTTTACGTGGACCAAAGCGGACTAAGCCGTCTAAGCGCCTATGTGTGAGATAAGTAATGTCAAGGTCATCGCGTTCAGGGCGAGATTACTCCAACAGTTGAGTATACCTCCAAACAGCGGCGCTGCTCCGATGTGTAGTGCAGCTACATAGCGGTTTTCGCCACGTCACGACTACGTCCAAGATCCCCAACATTGCTAGATTACCTCCCAACGAAGCTTCAGAGGCCTCCACCAGGTGCACATTGAAAGACTGTTTAATTACCTTTAAATTTAGAGCCAGGCCATGAATGGAAGATCTTTCAAGGAATGTGAAAGATTGTTTTTATATAGAACTGCATTGTTCTTTCTGGTGCTCATGATGCTATTTTTTAATTCTGTGGCGTGTCTAAGCTGTTACCACAGCGAGGGATGATAACCAAGTATAAGCAGTTTCCAACGTACATTGTCTACTTATCTACAGTTGTAGCTACTATTTCTTACAAGGTCACTAGCCTAGCAGTGAGATTTATAGACATGGGCTACCTGTTTTGTGCTTAAAAGAATCTAACAGAAGCCAGGGTGAGCTGTCTATTGGGAGTGGAACATAAATCAGGGTACTGCGGTACTTTTGCTTTCATGGTGATCTCTGAACGCTGTAAATACTAAGAAACGTTGAAGGCTTGTTAGGTACCAGCTGCCACTTAATTGCTTTTATTTGAGACTAATTTACCCTTGGTCTTCTCAAACTATGACCCTCCAGCCTGTATTTATGACGTTCTATATTGTTTTAAGTCTGAGCACTGCAAAAAATAATTACCCTGGAATTTCAATATTCCAGGCTGCTTTTCACTACACCTGAGGGAGAAAGGTACTGCCAGGCTGAAAGGGCAGCCCGGCACCAGAAGATACGGCGGTACCTGTCAGAAAAGCTGTCCAATCTCAAGAGAAATCACTACAAAGGTATGTGCATCTGTACAAACTTCCTTCATTAAGTAATATACTATTTTGGGTCTCAAGTTTACAAGCAATTATTTTAAATGATGGTATAGATAAATTATTTAGAGGTTAATATATCTAAATGTTTATGCAAACAACTTTAAAGTAGTCTGTTGATCAGCTGACCACTTGAAAAAGGCTGTGGGTTGCTTGGTCGCTACTGCCATCCCATCAGGCCGTGCTCGCTCACTCTCCAAAAAGTTGCATGGTCACACAATTACAATGAAGCATGTCGCTCTTACTGCCCCTTAGTCGTCTCTAGGCCCACTCTGCTGTTTACGTATGTCAATGGTCGTCCTGTGTTTGGACTCATTGCTGATCTCTGAATTGCCCTTGATATGTCCAGGCTCATCCCTTTGCTGCCTGTCCTTCCCCGATGCGTGGTCCCACCACAGACTGCCCATGCTGTTGCAGGTCTGCCATCGCTTGCACCCCATGTTGTAGCCTTTTTGCCCTTTTCTTCATATTAATTTAGCTTAATTTATATATTGCCAATACTATTGAAATGGAACAAATGTACTATCGCAGCCAATATGAGCTGAAACGCCACTGCACGTGGCACGCGATGAGAGTTGTCTCTCAGATTGTTCAGCAAACCTTGGTATGCGTTGAGGTAGAAACAAATCACTCTTGTGCTCGTTGCACCACTATGCCGTTCCGTGTCAATTTTCAGCTCATAGTGGCACAATGAGTGCAAGAAGCAACCTGCCTAAACCTCAGCAAACACAGAGGTTCACTGAAAATCCGACAGGTGGCTCTGATAGTACCACACGCCATGTGTCATGGCGCTTCAACTAATATTGGTCACAATAGTACTTCCTCAAATGTTTCTGGTTTTTTTGTACCACCTAGCCATTCCACCCAGCGAAACAATGTATGATTTCATAACTTCATAATAAAAATATCAAAGCAACGCAGCTTGTTTGACTTTATTCTTCTTAGTAGCTGCATTCGCCGTACTCAAATGTCGGGCTGGCGATTACCAGTGTGCAGTGGACAATATAATTAAATAATAAGTGGGATATGCACCTCGTCATGCTCCAGGCATGGCATAATTAAGTTTCCAGATTATGCATTCACATATTGTTGTGTTTTTTAAGTTGTGGCCAACTCGAACTGTTTCAAATTAGCCATGAAACCACCATAATCAAACCGTAAAAAAATAGGCGTCTCAAAATACGACAGGTCATTCGACCATCAGACCAAACCAACAGACCATCAGGCCATCAAACCATCAGGCCATCAAACCATCAGGCCAACAGACCATCAAACCATCAGGCCAATAGACCATCAAACCATCAGGCCAACAGGCCATCAAACCATCAGACGTCCCAAAATACGACTCCACCAGACCATCAGGATTTTCCTGATGGTCTTTTCGATAGGGCTTAATTGCAAATGTGAGTGGCCGTTTGTAGAGGCAGGCAGTGGTTGGCTTGCTGGCTGCAAAGAAACCGGAAAGGGAATGGGATGTTGTTAATAAACAAATGTGCTAAGCTTCCAGCTTTGAGGGCATGCTTGTTCACTACAATTGTAATGAAGCAACTCAATTGTTCATTTTCTTTTTTTTTATACCCAATGTTTTACCAGCCTCGGGCACTCTGCGACCGACAAAATCTGCTCCCCCCCCCCCCCCCCCCCCGAAACAAAATCCTGGCTACGTGCCTAGCTGCAACCATTGTGCGTGCGAGCTACATCCGACACTTAAAAGAGGTTAACAAGGTCAATGACACTGGTACGCGCTGTAGACCAGTTTTCAGGCAGTACTGTACGACCGCTAGCCTAGGGTCTTTAACACCCGTCACGCAGTAGTGAAACACGAACGACTGCTGGTACGATGCTCATCCAGATCGAAACGGGCAGGGGTGGGGATGGAACCCAAGATCCCTGGGTTCTGCAGCGCGAGCTTTCGTGCAGAATTAACTCACAAGCGGCTTGTAAACACACATCCTAGCTAGCACAAAGGACAAGGAAGCACAGCGGGCTTCCGTCATGCATGCACTCAAAGGAGCACAACACCGTGACCAGATTTAGTGGACCGAAAGAGTGTCGTACGAGCTGTACATGTGCATGCCATTGCTATTTTTTTATAGCACAGACGCTGTAAAATTTGGCAAGCATGTGACTGTTATGAAAGCTGCTCTCGTGATCCTGCCGCGTTAAAAGAATGATATAAACGTGCTTTCACTGCGGGAGCGCACGCTCCATGTGAGTATTCCTGCAAGCGACGCGCGGGCCCATGTGGAACGCCACTTGATACACAACATGAAAATAATCCAAAATAAAAAGCAGCACACCCTACCTGGCTCGTGACATTCGGAAGCACTCGAAGAATTCCCGGCCGTCTGGGTCTTCGAACATCTGTCTGACGATGGTGGCATACGAGCGTTTTTCGAGGCTTCAGGGGGTCGCGGACGGTCTTTCGCTTCTTCTTTTTCTTCGCGCTCCGTAGGTACTGCTCACACGCAGCCGCGAAAGTAGTCAGCCGACGCCAGTTGATAGTTCTTGCATTTGTGACGCACCCCACTACACAAAATTTCATAAGTGAGGCAATTCGAGCTTCGTAGCCAGGATCCTGCGGAGACGACGCCATCACGAAACAAAGCGAGTGCCGCCGGTGCCGTTCTAGACGGAGCGCACCGGCGACGACCCGGCTTGACGACAGCCGCTGATTGGTTGCCTGGGGAGCCGCCGTGACGTCAGCTCCCGTATATACGCGGCCCGTGCCGCACGCCGGGCGCGTCGTTCAAATCAAACCGTGACGTCAGCTCCCGTATACGGGAGCCGGAAGTGATTACGTCAGTACGGGTTCCGGCTCCCGGGTTCCGTATTCCGAGTCTGTTTGAACCGCGCTTTAGATGCCCGTTTCCGGCTTGAGCGCCGTCGGCGTAACCGATGTCACCCCAAGGTCATGTGCCCCCAAGGTCACCCCAAGGTCACGTGACCCCTCCCAAGGTCACCCAAGATCACGTGATCCCTTCCAAGGTCATCTCAAGGTCACTTGACCCAAGGTGACCCCCACGCCCCCCCCCCCCAAGGTCACGTAACCCCCGAGGTCACGTGACCCCTTTCAAGGTCACGTGACCCCTTCCAAGATCACCTCAAGGTCACGTGACCCCCAATGTGACCCCCATTTAACCCCCCAAGGTCACGTGACCCCCCCGACCCCCCTCTTCGAAGTCACGCGACACCCCCCCCCCCGAGGTCACGTGACCCCCTTCCCCTGAGGTCAGGTGACCCCCCCGGAGCATATTAAAGAATGAGGGGAAGTGGAGGAGAAGGAGGAGGAGGAGGAGGGGTGTACCCTCCCTTCAGTACCCTTCCCTCCTCCTCCTCAAGAGCTGCGCTCCAATTCGGCGTTGCAGGGAGTTGCAAACGGCTTTCACCTTTTTTACTCTCACCAACACGGTTCCCTAAAAAATCGCTCTTCCAAAACCCAGCTTGCCGAATTCACTCATGACCTACGCATTAATATGAATAACAATCATCAAACAGACGCCATATTCCTAGACTTCTCCAAGGCTTTCGACCGAGTACCTCATAATCGCCTCTTCTCTAAGCTTTCAAGGCTCGGTATTGACACAACTCTAATTTCTTGGATCCGAGATTTTTTTACGTCGCGAGTTCAGTTTACCATAGCTACCAATCATCAATCACCCCTTGCTAACGTAACATCAGGCGTCCCCCAGGGAGCAGGACTTTCCCTACTCCTATTTTTCATATATATACATGATCTTCTGCATAACATCGACTCAGAAATTAGGCTGTTCGGAGATGATTGCGTTGTTTACCTTCCAGTTGGAAACTGCTCAGATCATATCGCACTGCAGAGGGATCTATCAGGAATTAACACTTGGTGGGATCAATGGCTTAGGCCTCTTAACTACGAGAAGTACAAACTTGTATCATTCACGAGGAAAAAATCTACTCTTTCTTACTCATACTCACTTGATGGCGTTTCAATTGGCTCTACTTCCTCATACAAGAACCTCGTTATTTATCTGGCTTCTACACTTTCTTGGATTCAACATATCGACGTCATCACTGCTGATGCTTCACGGACTCTCGGCTACTTTAAGCGGAATCTAAAATCAGCACCTTTTCATCTAAAGCAAATAGCGTGCACTACGTTCGTCCGCCCCAAGCTGGAGTACGCCTCGCCCATCTGGCATCCGTCACGAGCTTACCTCAGCGGCAGTCTGGAAGAAATTAAAAATCGTGCAGCCCAATTCATTTCATCAGCATACTCCCGCGACACCAGCGTGACACAGCTTAAACTTACTCTCAAGCTTCCACTGCTCTCTGACCGCAGAATACTCTCTCGATTATGTCTCTAACGTACATTTTACCACACCAGCACCGACTTACCTGACTCCCTGATATCAACTCCTGACAGAATTTCGTCACGCCTCAATCACAGCCGTTGCATTAAATGCATAAGAGGCAAAACGCTAGCCTTTAGTACGTCATTCTTTCCTCATGCCATAACTATCTGGAACTCTCTTCCTGAAACAAATCATCCTTATTATTGACCAATCCACTTTTCCATAATGAGTGATTGCACATATCCAATAAATTTTAACAATTTTAACATGCATTACTGTGAATATTTATTTTACATAATTTTTTGTGTTCTATTTTTGTTTATATGTTCTGTATTACCCCATAAGCTTCCCCCCTTATGCAAAGCCCCACGGGGCCCTTAAGGAGAAGTAAATTAAATAAATGAAATGAAAAACTGTGCGATTTCGCCGCCATGGACAAGCTTTTTATCCATGGTGATTTGTCTGTTTGTGGCCAGAAGGTCACCATTGAATCGCTGGCACCTCGAGTATCTTTTGCGTTTGCGGTAAAATATATAAAAACATTCTAAGCCCCTCAGTAGGCTTGCAAGCTATTGTAAAGCAGGTAGGTACAGTTGTTTGGATCGAACTTCATCAAAATACGGATGAGGGTTCGAATTCACTTTGTACAGTTCGCTATGGACGTCGCCCTCGATGTTAGGTTTGAAGAAAACAACCAACAACTTCCGGTGATACGCTGGTAAACCCTTGTTTCTATGTTCAAGTGATTTTAGTGCACAAACTACTTGAGACCACCGTCACGGGGTCACTGCCGCCGTCACAAGCCCCGGTTAACCCCCCCCCCCCTCTCCCCCCCCCCCCCCCCCAAAAAAAAAAGTGAAGAATTGTTATAATTAAACGTTACCTCTGTGATAAAAAAGGCATTCTGAACAGTCACAATCTGGCCGCGGCGCCCCCGTTCTAGCAGATCCGTAGATCCGTAGAATGTGTGTTTGCTCGAATTCACAATGATTCTGAAGGAAGCGGAGAGTCAATATTATTTGTGCAATTTTCATGTTTCGTTTTACTTGCTTTTTCCGACCAATCTATCGGTGAGGCCCTGAGCTCAGGTCTTTGCTTAAATTAGTATCTGGAAGTTAGGAGAATCACATTTGATAATTTGTGCCACGACATTTGAATCTGCTGTTGTTTGAAATAAATATAAATCAGATTCACTATTTAGACTAAGAAATAAAACAAACAGTTTCTAAGCAAACTCTACGTTTCTTCGCTAGGGGAGGCGACACTTGCGGCGATTTATTTTTAAATTTTCTACAGTGGGAGGGTGTGATGCGCGTTTAGGATAAGAACATATGTTACAAAATTTTGCGTTTCATCTTGCGGATGAAGAATACTGCTCGCCATTAGGGCATTTCAATGTTCTTCTTTTTACCTTATCTTGTTGCGGCACTGGTGAATTTTGATTGTTTAGTTGAGCTGAATGAGAAAGCGAATCAAGCTACTTTGTCGACGAGAGCCAAGCAGCGGAATGACCTCCTTTTGGAGCTTCTCGATATTGCGATATGCTTGCTTTTACTGTAGCTGACCTTTCATTGTTTGCACGCCTATAAGATATAAACTAGTTGCTCAAACTCAGCACGTCACAATAAGAAGAAAACAATGCTCAACAATCGAGAAAAAGCTTGACATCCAGGAACACCTGCCATTTAATGCATCTCCCAAGAAAACAGATATGTTTGCACCTGTTTAGAGGTTATGCCTCGTCAGATTTTGGTTGCCCTTTAAAGTCAACAAGAAACCGAGTGGAATGAGCGCGCTGGACTCAGAACAGACCTTCTGAAGAATTGAATGCACTGGCTACTTGACGACGAAACGTAGAAGATTCCAAGGTACGTTAAGTCTTTAGGCGATATTTTTGCTGAAAACATGAAGAACAACCTAGGATCTTAGGAACTTGTTTATAAATTACGTATACTCTTTTTCATTTGTAGAAAGCGGTCTATAAATATCTAAGGAGGACCTCACTCAACATTCGCTTTTTGTTATCACTTCAGTTAAAAAAAATGTTTATCATGAATCGAAGGATTGCAACACTGATCTTCGTGGTGACAACGTTTGCCAGCTCAAGGACTGCGGAAGACAAAGGTATTATGCGTCAATTTGCAAGTAGACTATGATGATTTATTGAGCACGATTTAGTCATTTCATCTTTAAAAAAAAAAAGAAAAACAATCTTACATTGACGCGTTGGTAGTCGCGTTTTCGGGAGACGGCTCTGTCATTAATGAAGTGAATAACGGGGAAGCGAATCCAGGAGGAATCAGTTGTCAATCTAAGCTTCTACAACGCAGATCGTAACTTGTAATTCCGAGATTCTTGCTTCGTGATTCGCTCTTCGGCGAGCTCATTGGCCAATGCAGCAATATAAATTGCTGCAAACCGATCATAGGGTTATTCAGATTTGCCACGCTCCAGATTTCTTTAACTTTCAGTGTACGGACTCTACGGTAGTTGTTTTGAAAGGCAAGTGGATGACATGTGTCTAGCTTGTCACAAACAAGACATGGTGGTTATGCGTCCTTTCATTGGCTGTCGAGAACGATGACTTCGAGGATATTAACACAATTGATGTTTGGTCCACGGGGTGTATTTTCGCCAATTTGTTGGCATACTAGACGTAACATTGGGTGAATCAGATAATGTGAACCATTAATCAGACGATATTGAGTGCACACTTCATTACCAAAACGTTCGTGTCCTGAGGAGAAAAAAATTTTTTTTTTAATTTATGGCTGAAGTTGCTGTCAACTTATACATTGTTTTCTGCCTTACTGAGATTTGTCTAGAGGACAATATCGCTAGCTCTCAACATTTACTTCCGTGTTACTCAGTATTTCTGGAATATCGTTATTATGTTAGCACTGGACAGATATATGCAGGCGGTGCTCTAACGGCCGGGGACGTTTCCCTGTTTGCATTGAGAACGTATAACTGCTAGTTTCACTCGCAATGCGTATGGATCTGGGTTACGTCCTGCGACGGGCTTATTTATTTGATTCGAAATTACTATTTTCGGCCACACACTGACTCAGAAGTTGTTCACGTCATTTTAAAAATTTAGAACAACATCTGAACATAACGAAGATTCTTGTACAAATATATAGGGACTTTAAGCAGCAAGGCATTAACTGGCTGGCAGGTTATAACTCACCAGCGCACGATGTCAGCTGCCTGAAAATCTCAAGTCCCCTTTGGATTTCATTCATCTTAATTCATTTGAACAAAAAGACACGATCCAGAATTCAGCGGGAAGAAATCTCGACATTACATTAGTGTCTTCACGAATCTGTTTTATTTTGTATATCGTCAACCCCTTAAATAAATACCTAATGTACAGTAGTGGTGATTAGGTTTATATGTATAAATAGCTTTATTGCTAAGACTGCAAGCCGATCCTAAATGAGGGGTGTGTGGATTCAGCTGTTGAAGCACTTACAAAAGTAGTGTTGAACGAGATTGACAGCTATGTGCCTATGATAAGCTGAGCTGAGCTGAGGCGCTGCTTGCGACGTAGGATTTACTATCGCTGACTGAAAAATCCGGGCTGGACAAGTACGCAAATTTAGTGAAGGTCGTGCTTCGGCGGAGGGGCTCTTTAGTCAAGACGAAGGTTTGCGTTTGGCTAGGCTTGAGTCGGATACGTATACCAGGCCCGAAATCTTTGGAAATGTGCAGCGTCAAAAAGAAACCCGCTGGTATTGTGGTCCTGATACAAGATAGTTTTGGTAATTCAAATGATCTAAGTAAATTGCAACGTGTTTCCAGATGATTTGAAATCCTGTTTTTCGTCAACAGCAATCCATGGCGAGAGTTCAACGTGTCTAGGCGCATCGGAATTTCTATATTTTACTCCCATTGACGAAGTCGAAATGTTGGAAAGCATTCGTAGTATGAAATTGAAACTGTCTGCAGGCGGCAGATGAAATTCCCAGTTTTATTATAGAAGTCTGTGCTGAACTTGTTTTAATTTTTTGAACATCTACTTTGCTGAACATATTTTAACTTCTCTCTATGTACGGGAATATTTACGTCTATCTGAAAACGTTCTGTAGTTTTTCCGATTTATAAATCAGGCGTTTCTAGCATTTGTAAACTATTCCCCTTTTTAATTGCTCTGTTTTTGTTTTATATTAGGCTGTACAAATGTCTCGACTGGTATTCCAGCCAAAAGATAAACCACGAGGAGCATCGGTGTTTGAAGCGCAAGTCAGTGGATACGAAATTGTGCCTTTCCTTGGATTGTACCAATCCGTTCGTTTGTGACAGTGAGCATGTTGATATAATATACGTTGACATGTTGAAATTCTTCAATAAGGGTGAGGGCTAGTCCAACGCATTAACGGGAGCCTCAATCAGGTGCTTAAAAGAATGCGCAAGGACAAGCCTAATTCTTGGAACAAATATTTAGCCCATTTCTCTTCGTGTACCGCGAGGTTCCTCAAGCAAGTATGGGGTTCCCCCTATTTGAACTCATCTACGGCCAAGCAACGTATGGATATTTGCTTGATTTGAGAAACAAGCTGGAACAAGCCATTGAGTTAGCACACGAGAGGCGTCAGGAATCTCAGCGAAAGCAGAGAAAATACTTCGATACGAAAGCAGAAGGATGACAGCTGGAAGTGGCAGAACGAGCGTTGATTATTTTGCCTAGCAGCAGTAACAATCTTTTGATGGAGTAGAAAACTCTCTACCCGGTAGTGGCGGATAAGAACTAAGTGTACAATGTTCTAGAGCTGTGTAACACGTGCTAGCTGTTTCACGTCAGTATAATGAAATGATGAGGAACGAGCAGTTTAAAAATCCAGCAAGCCGCAAGTCAACTTATTTGTGGCGATCGAACATGGTGATGATGAAAAGAAGCTTCCCTGCATGAGCGTCAAGGGGACCCAGAGACCTGAAGATATCACTCAGTCAGCCTCTTTAACCGAGGCGCAGGCCGCTGAGTTGAACGAGTTTGTCCACACATACGGGGATGTGTTATTCGATTTGCCGGGTGTAATGAACCTTCTGTAGTGTCAGTTACATTCATTCACTGCCGTGAAGACACGACAGTACTCGATTCTTTTCGCATTGAGGAAGGTAATCGAAACCGAAATCCAACAGATGTTGAGGTTGGGAGTGATTGAGAAATCGAATTTCGCCTACAATTCTCCTTTCGTCGTTGTAGAGAAGTCAGATATATGGAAGTCAGATTTACCAATCTGGAGGCTATAAATGCGGAAACCATTCTCCGGGTTGATGATATACTGGTCCATATTGGCAGGAAATGTTTCTTTCACAAACTGGACTTAACCAAAGGATATTGACAAATCACTCTATCGACGGATTCTAGGCTCAAACGGCATTTTCATCCGAGTCGGGGTTTCCGATTCGAGGTTTATGCCCTTCGGAATTAAGACGGCATCAGCCGTATTCACTCGGCTTGTAATTACGCTGCTGGCAGACATCCCAACAGTACAGCACTAAATCGACGATGTGCCAAGAGCAACCAATGCTTGAGAGTAGCACCTAGGTGCATCGAAACAAATATCTGAGCGAATGCGGCGCACCCGAATCATGGTGAAACCCATAAAATGCGAACTTGGGAGAAAGACAATAACCTTTTTGGGCCATGAACTGAGAAATAAAGAAGTAAGGCCTCGCTCGCAAACTTTGGAGAAGAGCAAGCGCTCTGAACGACCCCGAACCAAGAAGCAAGTTAGAGCTTTTCGGAGATTGTAGGGATACTACCACAACTTCATCCCCAACTATGTTGAGGTAGCTGGACCATTAGTTAACATGTCAGGGAACCCGGGGAAGATCCAGGTGATATGGTTTTCTCAGAGAGAAAATGCTGTCTTGAAGTTGAATGACGCATTGACGCCAGCGCCGATTCTCAGCATACCCGACTTCTCAATAGAATTCATTCTCAGCACCGATGCGTCGAAGAAGTGCGTGGATGCGGTGCTTCTAGAGAAGCAGGAAGGCCTCTTGCACCCAGTTGCTTACGCTAGCAAGAATCTGCTGCACAGAAAGTTTCAACCATAAAAAAGACTTTTTTGGCACTGGTATGGACATTAGAGAAGTTTCATGTGTACCTATACGGTACACATTTCGTCGTACAAACAGAGAATCATACTTTGCAGCAACTGAGGCAAGACGACTTAACAGCAAAGTATTACGCTAGAGCCTGATTCTGGAAGAGAACTCATTTCGTGTTGAGTATATTAAAGGCAGTGAGAATGTAGGCTCGAATTAACGCAGTCGGTTTTTTGGCTGTATGGTTAAGTGTTAGTAATGGTGAATAATTGGCGCAGCGCAAATCACAAGCGCATCATCATAATCTTTTCATATAAAAATTCTTATTTGGGGTCTCTTGCGATGAAGTGTGTCGTCCTGGAATAAAAATAAAGCTGGAATAAGGTTAAGAGGCAGTAGCAAAAAAACAAAAGAGAAGAGGAAGGCGAGGCTTCCTGTGTGCTGTTTGGGACAAGTTTGGCGTGACGTGGCCAACGAACCGTTAGCCAGCAGAAAGAATTGTGTGAGACCAAGCTCCACGTCCTCCACCCCGACCATACCCGTTCGTCACACCTCTAACAGCCAGCCTCGCACGAGACAACCGGCCGATGAAAGGAAGCCCTGGGCCCCCTCCTAGAGCACAATAAGAAGAACTAAGCTAGGTCGTGTGAGTCTTATGAGACCATCGCGAGGGGGCGGCGTGGCGTGCGGAGAGCGTGTCACGTGGTACATTCACAGAGCTAGATTGGCTGGGATGGCTAATAGTGTCCGCCGCGATCGGACTTAAGGTGAAATGAAATACAGTAAAAAAGTGAAACACAAGTATTTATTTTATTTTATTTGTAATTATGACTGGCTCTCGTTATACCACCGTGCGGGAGTCAAAATACCAGACGTTTTTCAATTTTCTTAATTACAACTATTCAAAAGTCCTTAGTTCTCTGCAAGCCTTGCAGTAGGAAATGTTCACGTAATTCGTTAAAAGGTAGACGGTAATGACTCCGTTTAATGCCATGCTCGCAGAGAAAGCTCCTCGGTAGGATTTCTATAAACTTTTGTTGGTGAACAAAACAAGAAAAAGAAGCATA